CTTTWSDGYAAAMYTWYGMYCACACAGCTCACAACAAAATGGTTTCTGTCCTGTGTGGATTCTCATGTGTCTGTTCAAATGGCCCTTTATGATAAACCTTTGATCGCACAGCTCACAACAAAATGGCTTCTGTCCTGTGTGGGTTTTCATGTGTGTGTTCAAATGCCCGTTTGCTGTAAACCTTTGATCACACAGCTCACAACAAAATGGTTTCTGTCCTGTGTGGATACTCATATGCGAGCTCAAACTCCCCTTTGTGTTAAACCTTTGGTCACACAGCTCACAACAAAATGGCTTCTGTCCTGAGTGGATTCTCATGTGTGTGTTCAAACTGCCCTTTTGAGTAAACTTTCGATCACACAGCTCACAACAAAATGGCTTCTGTCCTGTGTGGATTCTCATGTGTGYGTTTAAATGGCTSTTYMTGGTAAACTTTCGATCACACAGCTCACAACAAAATGGCTTCTGTCCTGTGTGGATTCTCTTGTGTGTGTTTAAATCTCCCTTTTTAATAAACCTTCCACCACACAACTCGCAACAAAATGGTTTCTCTCCTGTGTGAATTCTCATGTGCGTGTCTAAACTGCCTTTTTGAGTAAAACTCCGCCCACACAACTCACAAAAAAATGGTTTCTCTCCTGTGTGGATTCTCATGTGCATGTTTAAACTGCTCTTTGTGGTAAACCTTCCATCACACAGCTCACAACAGAACAACTTCTGTCCATTTGTGTTGTTTTTAACACCTGATTCAGGAACCCTGCTGAGAGAAGACTCCCGTTCTCTATCAGGTTTTGACCCAGAGTCTGCTATGCGTTTCAGCTGAGAGTCAGGATTGTTCACATCTTTATCCTCTTCATCCTCCTCACTGACTTCAGTTTCTGAGGAGTCAGAATCCTGAGCTGGAAGATCTCTGACTTCAGCTTGGTGTTGATGAAGCTGTAAGAACAGAGGTTTATCTTCATCATCCTCAGGCTTCAAAGGAGCTGCAGTGAATGTAAAGCTGGTGGCATCAGTCTCCTCCTTCATATTGAGCTGCTCTGCTCCCAGACTGATGCACAGTTCCTCCTCTTCCTCTTTTATGTGGAGGTGTTCTTGGTCCTGCTGGTCCACATCAGGCTTCTGTTCTTCAGGATCTTCTTTAATCAGCACCTGAACACCTTCAGGAACCACTGAAACACATGAACAGGACATTAAAGAACTGTAGCTTTATTTTCACACGTACATCTCTTGTTGGACTGCTCAGTTTGTTTTTTAACCAAACAGTTTTTAGAACTAAACTGGAACCAAAGCTCACTTAGCATTGGCTGTTATCTTTTCAAACACTGTAAGCTATGGATTTAGCACAAAAAAACTAAATCAGCTCTTAGGGTTTGTCTACTAACAAGTTTCCAGTGTTAGACGAGGGACCCATTACACAAAATACAAATTATACATCCAGGATATCGGCTGTAAGGTGAGCTTCAACAGCACTTCAACTTGTAAAATGCTTTTATCAGTTGCTCAAATGTCAAGCCACGCTTAACAAGCAGGCTCATTCAAGCCAGCTGTTAATCATTTCAGATGAGCGCCAGTTCACAGTTTGGTTGTTAGACCCTCTTTATGGATCACAGACTTTGTTACCAGTTGGTTTTTATTGCTTAAGTTATTATATTAGCCAATCCCTTGCGCTGAGGTTGCACTGCGTAGAGGCGCGWCCCCCAGGTGGTGGATTGGGGATCCCAGTTCCTGGTGTATAGGGGTGTGCCCAAATAAGCTGAAAGACGAATAGGGTACCGCAAACCAAAAGCAGCCAGGCAGGTGGGGCTCGATAGCCTTGAMAGGSAACCCACCTAGGAGAAGGAAAACTCTGATGTAAAACCYGGGTACCGTCAACACTCATCAGTCGTCTACCCCCGGTGGATAGCAAGTTGACAAGAATTTTAAATTGAGCGGACAAGGGACCGGTCTGGTGGGGAACCAGGCTGGATGGGCCAGTAATATTGTGACTGGAACAACCTTTACTCTGGCCCCAGGACATGATGCTTATTTGTTGGTTCCTGGGCAACTGGAGAGTTTAGTGCCCTGGGGCTCAGTGACGGCGATGGCTTCTGCCACTGCTGTCACTGTGTATACAGGGAGTACCCAGTGCGAGTGTAGCCCCTTGACTGCACCCCAGTGAGGAGTGGTCGGAGCCTCACAAGCGCTGGGGTCTCCAGGTGATGAGGACACCGACATGTTGGTGTCCTCTGATGGAGAAAAGGGTCCTAATCTCTCTAGTTTTAGGGATGATTTTATACAGAGCAACTTGCATCATTGTAAAGATGCAAGTACATTGTTGTGTACCTGCCTTAGTAGGATGCATTCAGGCATAGCCTTGATCCAGGAACCTTGGATAGTTAAGCCTATGGTACGAGGCCTGGGATTCCCTGGGGGTACACTTCTATATGATGTGAGCAGCCGCAGACCCAGAGCAGCAGTAGTCCTGACAACAGGTGTAAGATACACTGCACAGCCCCACCTAACAACAGGTGATGCTGTAGCAGTGCAGCTGGATATTGAGGCAAATGGCGAATCCAGACCGATCATTGCAGCCTCTGTTTATTTGCCGTTTGATTCACAGCAGCCACCTCCATTTCAGAAGTTTGTGGCAATAGTCGATTATGCTAAAGAAAATGGCCTCCCGGTACTCATTGGTTGTGATGCCAATTCCCATCATGTGTGCTGGATGAGCTCTGATATTAACCCTGAAGGCAGATCTCTATTAGAATACTTGCTGACAGAAGACCTGATAGTCTTTAATCAGGACAATGTACCTACCTTAAAAACTGTTAATATGGAGGAGGTCATTGATATAGCAGTTGGGTCTATGGACCTGGTAAACAAAGTATGTGACTGGGAAGTATCCCCAGAGGAAACCATGTCAGACCATCGACAAATTCAGTTTAAGCTGAGGATGGGGAAACCATACCCAGTCACTTACAGAAAACCAAAAAACACTGACTGGAACCTGTTTGTTAGCAGTTTATCCCTGTTGATGGGTGGGAGAATTGCCAGGATCAAAASTGTGCAAGACATTGAAACAGAGGTCACAAGCATGACTKATGCTGTGCAAACTGCTTATAAGTCTGCCTGTCCGGAGAAAGTCTGGAGGCCTTCAAAGCAGCCGGCCTGGTGGACTCCAGAGTTGTCTGGCCTCCGCAAGGCAGTAAGATGTAAATGGCAAAGATACCGATCCCAACCAAGCAAAACCAGGTGGGAACAGTATGTAAAGTCCCGCAATCACTATAAAAGTGTTTTAAGGTAATGTAAGAGACTTTCTTGGACAAAGTTTTTTGAAGATGTTAAAGGGCCTAGTGCCTCTTCTAAGCTTTACAAACTTCTCAGAAAGGATCCAGTCAACTATCTATCCTTCATTATTCCACCAGAAGGATTGACAGTCACACAGACAAGTGTGCTTCAGCATCTCCTCCAGGTACACTTTCCTGTGGCAGAAGAGACTGAACAGCCTGTCACAGTTGCTAACTCAAATCCAACAGAAGACGACTGGAACAGAGCTGCAAGTATTGTTACTAAAAGCAAAGTAAAATGGGCAATTAATTTGTTAGACCCATTCAAAGCTTGTGGTCCAGATGGTATTTTTTTGGTCTGTGTGATGCCTGTGGCACTTAATTAGAGACCTCTTTGTACTACTTAGGCTACTGCCTGGTTCTGAGTGGTCAAAGGAAAAGAATTCTTGGAGACCCCCTTTATGGATCCTGAGAATCTCAGAACACTGAGTGTTTCTAACC